CAGGCCGGCTGAGGCTCGAATGAACTTGCAGAAGGATAACGGGAATAAAGCTCTGACGATTGAGGTACATCTATAGCGGATAGTGCACAGCATGCCAACCTTTGGTGAAATATGCCTTTTCCAAGGTAGAAATTTATGAAGTCAAGTCATTCTCTGCCTTCTCCATCCCCTGTTCAATGGCAGAATCTTCCAAATCTTTAGCTTCAGCCTTGAATCGCTCGAACTCTTCCAAAAGGTTGGAGTAGTCAAGTTGGGTTTGGGTAAGCTAGACATTGGCCGCATTTTCGGATGCCTTCAAATCTTCTACCTCTGCAACAAGCTTCTTGTTCTCCTCAGTCAAGCTAAGCATCTGAGTATGAAGAACCAGCATCTCCTCACAAAGCTTGGCATACTCTTCATCGATAGACTCTTTCTTTGCCAAAATAGACACGGGATCATGAATAGCCTCTTTCATGGTCTTGTCCTTCCTTGCAATCCTCGCCCCAATTTCATGAACCTTCTAAAGTCCCTGCAAAGCACAAGGAACGGCGTACAAAGTTTTTAAAAAAAAAACCTTAAAGACTCTTCAAAAAGAAACAAAAGGAGTTTGGAAATATCGGAACCATTTGTTGAATAGCCTGCTTTGTGATCTCGTTGTCTGACATCACCTCATTTGAGGCTAAGTCTCGAGGAAGGATCACACCTCTAGCTATTCCCACTACCACGTTGAAATCTTCGTCAGCAGAATCTCTTCTAGTGATTTCTCTCCTCTTAGCCTTTAGGATAGGTCTAAAAAGGGGAATAACAGGCTTAGAAGGAACAGCTTTAAGCTCTAAAATCTTACGTTTCTTGGAGGTAGGATCATCTAGTAGTACGAGGATAGATTCTAAAAGATAAACACGAGAAAGGGGCAGGCAGTGGTTCAAATTGGATAGGTGATTCAAGGATAGTATCCATCAAGACCTGAGTTGAACCAACCAAAGACTCCACCAAACAGGCCGCATTATCAGCCTCGACTTGATCAACTGAAGCAGACTCAACGGGTTCGGCAAGCATTTGAGCCGTCACAAATCTCTCGGAAGAAGAAAGAAATGCAAGAAAATTTCTTGCTGGTATGTCCCTCCCGAAAGGGCCAGACGATGCCTTTTTGTGAGAACGTGGGGTTTGATCCCGAGCAGACTGAATAGTTAGGCGGTCATGAGCAAGAATGGCATTAGGTCGAAGAGTAACAGCGATAAATGACATGTAGGTCAGAGTGTACCTGAGCAGAGTATGGATGGCTCGACAAAAGAGTGAGTCATTGAAGTTCCACACCCTCTTCAACTCCTCCATCTTTACCGACCGCTCTAAGATTGTCCCCTTCACAGTTTCACCAGCGTAAAAATAAAAAGTAAGTACAAAAGAGAAGGATATTTTTGTCTTTAAAGAAAAGACAAAGAAGTAATACTATCAATTACTTGGTCCGCCTTCTTCGTAAGGGCATTGATAAGGAGTGTCACCAGCAGCATACTTCCAATTGCCAGAAACAAAAACAATGTTATTTTTATGGATCTTGTTCAAGTCTGAAAGATGAGTTACCAAATAACGATCCTCCTTCCTCACTACAAGATAATAATTGTCTCCAGCAGGCTTGATGATATAACATAATAGAATCTCCCAAAGACCCCGGCTCCAGTTTAGCAGTTTGTTGACAGCAACCACGCCCATCACAATCCTAAAGAGATTTGGGCAACATTTAATGGGGCATAGCTTCAATGCAGAAAGCACTCAAAGGAGAAGGGGATGAAGAGGAAAGCAAACCCCACCTTCAGTAATAGCGTGGGTATAGATAGGAATGCTCTCTCTGGTGCCAATTAGAANGAGCAACCACGCCCATCACCATCCTAAAGAGATTTGGGCAACATTTAATGGGGCATAGCTTCAATGCAAAAAGCACTCAAAGGAGAAGGGGATGAAGAGGAAAGCAAACCCCACCTTCAGTAATAGCGTGGGTATAGATAGGAATGCTCTCTCTGGTGCCAATTAGAAGCTCGCCCATCCTTGCCACTCGAATATCGACGTCGTCTAAAATTTGGTATTTGGTTTTGAAAGCTGTAATTTCAAAAGAAGATGAGCCATGACAAAGAAGGTAGGATTCGGAATAACACAGAAGAAAGCTAGAGGAAGAAGAACAAGTGAAGAGATGATGAGAATTTGCGCTTAAAAAGAATGACTAAAGANCGACGTCGTCTAAAATTTGGTATTTGGTTTTGAAAGCTGTAATTTCAAAAGAAGATGAGCCATGACAAAAAAGGTAGGATTCGGAATAACACAGAAGAAAGCTAGAGGAAGAAGAACAAGTGAAGAGATGATGAGAATTTGCGCTTAAAAAGAATGACTAAAGATCAAAGGACAGGAAATTAATGCAAAGTATGCCGCCAAAATAAGGTGCATGTTTCAAGTGTACATGTAATCATAGCCTAGGAGTATGAAACCACTGCCAGACGAAAAACGCCTGACACACATTTCTGGGGGCAAGTGAAGGGGCATCAGAAATTACGACAAACGTAAGGAGCATTTAATGCGCCCACATGAGGGTAACAGGGTAAAGCACGTGAGGAAATAGTAAACTGATAAGCTAGGCAAAGTGGGGCCGAACTATCAAGGACTCGGTAAGGAGAGCAAAAGCTCAGCCTCGAAAGAATCAAGCTCTACATGTACACAATATCATTTTAAGTGAATGCCTATAATTGAGGAACTGGTGTAGCAGATAAGTATAATCAATGGCTTGGTAAGAGCTAGTCAACTGGGAGAGCGTCTAGAGAAATTTCAGCAAATCCCTAATGAATATCCCAAATTGATGGGAGGTGTGCCACCTTGCATAGTCAATCATGAAAATCCTAACAAAAATAGACACTATAAAGAGGATTAAGCAAGCACAGTAAAAGGTACGTTGAATCCTCCCTGCATTTCAATCCTGTGTTTAATTACTGACTTAAGTATCAAAGTGTCTTCGATCGAAATACTTCGGTCTTGGACAATTTATTCATTTTGCAGGAAAGAATAGGAGAACCAAACATCTCTTGAGAGAGAGAAACTCACTTTTTGCCTCTTACAATGATAACTTTTCACATCCTTTATCTTTGAATTTTTAAATTCATTTATTGAACAATTCTGGTGCCTTTTATTNAGGGTAAAGCACGTGAGGAAATAGTAAACTGATAAGCTAGGCAAAGTGGGGCCGAACTATCAAGGACTTGGTAAGGAGAGCAAAAGCTCAGCCTCGAAAGAATCAAGCTCTACATGTACACAATATCATTTTAAGTGAATGCCTATAATTGAGGAACTGGTTTAACAAATAAGTATAATCAATGGCTTGGTAAGAGCTAGTCAACTGGGAGAGCGTCTAGAGAAATTTCAGCAAATCCCTAATGAATATCCCAAATTGATGGGAGGTGTGCCACCTTGCATAGTCAATCATGAAAATCCTAACAAAAATAGACACTATAAAGAGGATTAAGCAAGCACAGTAAAAGGTACGTTGAATCCTCCCTGCATTTCAATCCTGTGTTTAATTACTGACTTAAGTATCAAAGTGTCTTCGATCGAAATACTTCGGTCTTGGACAATTTATTCATTTTGCTGGAAAGAATAGGAGAACCAAACATCTCTTGAGAGAGATAAACTCACTTTTTGCCTCTTACAATGATAACTTTTCACATCCTTTATCTTTGAATTTTTAAATTCATTTATTGAACAATTCTGGTGCCTTTTATTTTGTCACTTTGATATTCATGTCCGCCAAATCAAGTCTAACTAGCGTTGTCACATGCTTTGTTTTATTTTATTTTTTTTATTTAGAAGACTTTAAAACCCACAACTATCTTGGGTTAAACTTTTGTAAGATTTCAATCTATATCGATTTGTCTGAAAATCTATAATTTTTTTAGGTGACTATGTTCCAATAATTTTATCTCGAGTGATTTTTCCTATGAATGTTAGTTTAAGTAACTTTGTCCTAGAGAGTTTTATTTAAGGTGACTTTGTCCAATGTGACTTAGTTCCGAGACTTTTGACGTTAGGTTGATTTGTCATGACAATTTTATTCAAGTTGATTTTTTATATTAATTTGATTTAAGTTGATTTTCCCAAGAATTTAATTTCTAGTGACTTTTTTGCAAGATTTTGATCTTAGGTAACTTTTTCTCAAAAATTTTATTTTTATTATCTTTGTTTTCTGTGTTTGTATACTTATTTATCATTTTAACTCAATTTTTATTATAATTTATAAGGACAAGCTTGGTATAGAAGTATAAATATTTAAGTTACGTCCTCTCTAATAGCTTAAGTTGTTAGAATACATGGTATTTTAACATGATATTAGAGCAGGAGCCCCTGCATTCAAATTTCGCCGCCACCTTGATAATTAAAAGAATCTATAGGCACAAAATCTAATTGCACATGAGAAGGTGTATTGAAGTATAAAAACTTAAGTTACATCATCTCTAACAAAAAAATAATTAAAGCCCATGATTCTAGATATTGCACACATGGGATTATTTGAGAAAAGAATAACATACCTTTCGTTTGATTAGCTTGAATGGAACAAAGTTGAATCAAGTACAGGTGAGGAATAGCACTTGTCAAGATGCCATGCAAAGAAACATGGACACTAAAGGAAAAAAAATCAATGAAGAAGAAAAGTGATGAAACACGTTGAAGTCACAATGAGGTAAGTCTAGTTCCAGATTTTCCCCTTAAAAAAAGCCTATTAATAAGACAATACAACAAAAATACACCAATAAGATAGACATGAAAAAAGATTAAACCTGATTAATATAGACTCTTGGAGCTTTGTTGACCCAAAGATAAACTTTCAAGAGGTATTACTTTTGGGTCATAGAGGTGTCTTAAATGGGGAAAAACTGCTTATCTTATTCTGGAGGGACTGGGAGTCTATGTACATAAAGACATGTGAATATTCTAAGTGACTAAATTTGAATAAAATAATAATAAGTGTTGAGGAGGCATTCATAGACTTAAAAAAAAAAAATTATGTCTAAAATTAGGGTACAAAAATCTAATCACGTAAGTTTTCAAAATTAAATTAGATTGAACCTAAATACCACAAGCCCAAATTATACAAACCTAACGTAATGTCCATAATTTTTTATTAATATGGATGGCCCACTCTATAGAGCCCATAGAGAGGTGTTTAAGTAAAATGCCATTGTATAAGATAACTCTTCCAAGAAAGCAAAGGGAGGAGAAACAAAAGAATGGCAGATCAAGGGAGCTCTTGTCTATGAGGAGAAGAATACACCTTAAAGGCCCTTCTCCAAGAGATTCTTCAAATCATCTTCAACCCGATAATCTCAAAGTACAAAGAAAGGATACACCAAAGTCATCATCAAATTGAAGGTCGAGAAACACACAATTTGACCCTCATCCTCACTAAGTCAACCAAGAATCAAAATATTGTGTACTCGTGAAAGCACGCCAAATACAATCAACACCACATCTTATAATCAAAAGTTAAAGATTAAATGATTGTAATTTGACACCTCTTTTGTGTAATTGATCACACAAAATTTGTCCTTACACGTGCCTACCCACTTCTATACATTAAGAGCATCCGTGTGTGTGTGTGCACGCCCTTAAATTCATGAATGAAAAGTAGGCATTGAAATTTGAAAAGAAAGAGTATAAAAGAATGTATAAGTATGACCCAGAACAGCTTCAAGAAAAATAACAGTAAGGTTTGAATGTAAACTATTAGACTTAATTATTCATGTAAGAAAATCCTTCCAAAAAAAAAAAAAGGAGAAAGAGACAGAATTCACCTGAAACTTGGCCATCTCATTCTCAACCAGATTCTGAGCATTTAGAACAGGAACACTGCAATGTTCCACACAGCTCCCAATCTCTTCTGACTTCCTCCTCCTGTCAAAGCACTCGTAAGCGCATTTGAAGTACGCTTGCTACAACAATAGCCATCAAAACAACCATTATATACATACAAACGCACACATATACGTAGATATATACATACATATACAGAGAGAGTTATGAAACCTGAAGAGTGAAATTGATATGGTCTTGGACAGCTGAGAGTTGGGTTTGTGCAGCCGCATTGACTTCGTTTAATTTTTGCCTCAACCTGTCGTTCACAAGTCGCTCTTCTGCTGCTGCTATGTGATCCATCTATCTATTTCTCTCCCTCTCTGAAGTAGCGACTCTTTCCTCCGAATTGCTCTCGGTATATTTAAAGAGGCATTAGGGCATTGGAGGGCCGTTCTTATCGTTGCTGTGCTTGAAGATTTGGGGAAGGGTTTAGTGTTTTGAAGACACGCCGGTTTATAAAAATAAATCAAAAAAAAATAGTTTTTTCACTAATTACGATATTCCGTAAAAGAAAAAAAAAGTAATTACGATTTATTTAGTTTTTTTTTTTTAGGGGGAAGAATTCTATTTTGGCCTTAAATGATTAAATTTTTCAAATTATCCTCTCAAAAAAATAAAAAAGTGAAATGTGATTCACCGTCTTATTTTTGTTTAGTAGTTTATCTATTTTGTTTCAAATTAACTAATCAGAAATTATAAAATAGACGGACGACTAAACAAAAATAAGTCGATGAACCATATTACAACGTTTTTATTTCTTTGAGGAGACAATATGAAAAAATTAATCATTCATGAGAATAGACTGAGAATTTTTGTATCTTTTAGGGGTTAAATAGAATTTATCCTTCTTTCTTTTTTTTGTTGGTTGTTTAGTTAAAAAGCTTAATCACAATCTCTTTAGATTACATTGTGACTTAAAAATCTTAGTTACAATTCAATAGACCCCAACAATTTAACATCAATCTTTAAAATTCAAAATTGATTTCTTTGAACTTTAAATTAATTTTAAATCAATTTTGTTTTGTCGTTCAATAGGCCAAAAAAGGCCACACATGATTGAGCCAATTAATGAAATCATGTGTCTCAGAGCACGTAACGAATAACTGTCACATGGAAGGCATGTGGGAAAACACAAAATATTCCACCACAAACAACTAAGCAAATGACTCAAGCGTTCGAATCAATAGGCCAAGCTATTAGCATAACAGAGTTAAAGGCAAGACTAAGAAGAGCTCATGGGCAATATCTTGTAAGAAGTCTAGAAAGCTAGGTCATCCCAAAAAATCATGAATAGAGACAAGAATATTGTTGAAATTGGGGGTGAACATGATCAACGTACCTTAAGAGTAAGGCGGATGAGAAAGGAAGTTAAGAGAGATTTTATCATCAATCAAGAGTGATTCGGCTAAGAATTAGATGTGCCACCTAGTATAGCCAACAGCAAAAACCTTAGTAGAAAGGATGTCGAACAACGCTATAAACATCGGGGAATGCTCAAGTCAAATGTATGCACTCTTTTCCCTACTAAATTACCTTATTACTAGAGTTGTTATTGACTTAAGCATCGAAGTACCTCCGATCGATCCAACTCCAGTCTCTGTTAGTTTGCTCGTTTTGTAGGAGAACTAGTGCAAGCTTGTTCGTATTCCAATCAACTTAAAGCTCTAGTCGTCAAAGTAAGGTATGAGATTTTTTGCTCGTACAATTGGCATCGTTTATGGGAAACATCAAACAAAAAAGATCATGTCAAGATTAAGTAGCACAATCGGGTCACCGTGCATCAACTATGATGATGTTGAACACAATATCGAACGTAACTATAAGGTGTTTCTCCCCTCTAATAGCGATATCAGGGAGGACACCATTATGAGACTGAATGAAAATCAAGGTAATCCTGACAATCTAGCATTTGGAGGATATTATTTGGATGAGGAAACCTAGAAGGATGGCTTGATCTGAGAAAATTCCCCACGTGCTGATGAGAAAACCTCAACATTTATGAATCTATTTTGGTCTCTTCAAGACCAAATTAATGTGCATGACACCATGCAAAAATGCATAACACCATGCTAAAAAGATCCCATTATGAAGAGAAGAATCTAAGGCAAGAAAACGAAGAGCTCAAAAAGGCCTTAAGAAGGATGAATCATCATATTGCCAAGTTCAACACAAAGTGTGATTGTAATAGCCACAGTCCAGCTCCATAAAGATATGACTTGATCTTAATCTTACACCCAAGTATAAATGGTCAAACTGTAATATTACTCGATGAAGTCCGAGATCGAATCCATAGGAAATTATCTGCTGGATCTTAAAATAGAAAAGGATGAAATTACTGTGCGCATGGTGTGTGATACAATGGCTTGAGATGTGAGCTTAGAACTGATAAGTAAATGCTTAAAATAAACTTTTGATTAAACCAATTGAAAAAGGTTACTCTTTAGTTTGGGGATCTAACATGCATTTTTTCTTTGATTATGAAAATACCTCCTTATAACAATTAAGTCCAGTGTCAACAGAAGGTTAACGGGTAGGTTTGATATGTAGGTTGAACCATATCACAACAATTGTTAAGTTAGCCAGAAGGTCTATACACCTTGCAACAACCAAATAGCCCTAATAAACTTGAATGTGAACCATTTCAAAAGGTTTACAAAATAACCCTAATAAACTTGAATGTGAATCATTCAAAAGGTTTACTATAACTAATCGATCAACAGGTCTATAATTCAATGAAGACGGAGTTTCAATTTATCAATTGAATCAAAAATATTGACTATGGCGAGCCTTAACCCTTCTATAACCAAATCTCCTGACTATTACATAAATTTTAACTACATAATTGAATCATGCATGAAATACATAATACCGTATAGATGAAATGGTATATAATAATAAGTTTAGCTAGGTACTCGTAACCATGAGCATATAGTAATATGATACTGATTAACCCTAATTAATGCATAATTTAATCAAGTTAATGGGTCAATTGTGTTAGTTAACAAAGTTAAAAGAGTCAAATTACGATTAGTGTGCGAATTAGAGATAATGCATTAATTGTTGTTCTTTTAAGGATTTTCTGCGTCAAAGCTACAAACTAAAGAGGAGCCAACTGCGTCAAAGCTACAAACTATAGGAGAGCCAAAGTATAATTCAAAGCCTCCAATCAAGACTTTTTACCCTCCCTTGTTGCCTATAAATACCACCCCTTAGGACTTGTAAAAATCATCTATTGGAAGTGGAAAACCCTCCAAAAATAACTAGCTTTCTTTTACTTTATTATTGCTTTCCTTTTATTATTGCTTTCTTTTATTTTATTATTGCATTCTTGTACTTCATTATTAGTTTCTTTCACTTCTATTGTTTGAGCTTCCTTCTTCCCTTAGAGGAGTGAAACTCTTTCATTTTTTTAGAGCTTTATCAAAGTCATGAAGGGTGGAACGTGATTCACTCATTCTTCGTCAAAGATTGGCTCCTTGTTTAGTGTATTTTATTTTGTAACTCCTCTACTTTGAAGGATAAACATCACTCACTTTTCTAGCTTTACCAAAATCATGAAGAGTGAGTAGTTCCTCATTCACTCTTTAGTAAGAGGTGATGGACATGTATAAATCATTCGGAAGTTATATTTGTGCAGTTTGTTATCCTTAATATTTTATATTTTACTTGCTTATTGAATGATTGAATGCATCTNATTTGTTTATCCTTAATATTTTATATTTCACTTGCTTATTGAATGATTGAATGCATCTAGCAAAGATAAGGTACTTTGTACAGCTGAGGGTACTTTTTATGACGTAAATGACTCTTGCACAGAAAGACCCATTGGTTTTAGGTAAGTACCCCGACTAGATCTTCATGACTACATAGTTGCGCCTAGTCATTGAGAGCGTCTATAATCTTCACCATAATTGTGCTTCATTTAAAAGAATGGAATATTAACGCAATGGTTGGATGCCTTGTAGAGACACTTGCTTGTTTGTAGACAGGTTGAATCTCGACACAGACAATTCTTGTAAACCTCTACAAAGACATTAGGATCATGCTCTTAATTCTCACAATGCATCTTTATCTTCCAATTAATTTTATGTTGACACAGGAATTAATTGAGTTGCCAAGCACAAGTATAATAAACCGGATGATTAACTAAATGTTCAGATCCTTGAACTAAAGAGTGACTTTTTACAGTTGCATTTATCTTATATTTTGTCTAGAAAATCTTCTTGGAAGGAATTATATATTTGGCCCAAGGAAATCCCTAAATATCATCCCTATAAATCTCAAAGGTTACAGTCACATGGTCTTTGTCATTACTTACTTCAAAACATCAACAATAGTTCCCTATGGATTCGACTCCGGACTTAATCGGATTATTACTACAACTTGATCGGCCATACTTGGGTGTACACATTTCAAATCAAGTCATTTTTTTGCCGCCGTTGCCGAGGAACCATAAAAGGTGTTTTTAAGTAAAAGGTAAAAAGACCTTCATTTTTGTATAGATATATAATTTTTTTTATTGTGTACAAATTTTTATTTTATGTCTGTGGACGATCCTCACTTTCAAAATTTGCCAGAAGATTCTATAGGATCTGTAAATCAGTCTGAACCATCTTCACCCAAATCAATAGCAGGCTCTCTTGAGAATAGCATGACAAATAATATGAGAGAATGAGAAATTCTTGTAAGACAAGGGGAAGATCATGTGAGAGAGGGGGAAGTTCCTAACATCCGAACTCTGCGGGATTATTTGTATCCCACAAGAAGTAGTGTCCCCTCTTGTTTTATCTTTCCTGCAAATGCGCCTCTCTTTATTGTAAAGACGGGGACAGTTCAACTACNTTATTATTGCTTTCCTTTTATTATTGCTTTCTTTTATTTTATTATTGCATTCTTGTACTTCATTATTAGTTTCTTTCACTTCTATTGTTTGAGCTTCCTTCTTCCCTTAGAGGAGTGAAACTCTTTCATTTTTCTNGATTATTTGTATCCCACAAGAAGTAGTGTCCCCTCTTGTTTTATCTTTCCTGCAAATGCGCCTCTCTTTATTGTAAAGACGGGGACAGTTCAACTACTCCCTCTCTTTCATGGACTCAAATCAGAAAACTCATATCTGCACATAAAATATTTTGAGGAAATATGTGAAACTTTTCAAAACAATTCTGAGCTGGCCAAGTTGAAACTTTTTCCTTTAAGGGACAAAGCTAAACAATGGTTAAATTCTTTATAATCCCTTTCAATACCGGACTGGCAGGCATTACATAATGAATTTTTTAGAAAGTTCTTCCCTCTAAACCGCA